ATACTGAGGTTGATGCTACATTTCCCGCTTGGTTAAAGTTTTGTTTCACTTTTCCCCCGCTCTCGTCTTCAGAGTCAGCTTATTTGGTGCCTGGCTGGTGATCACCATGTTAGTCCATTTGCATTGCCATACAGAAAGGGCAATTTATAGCCAAAAGAGGTTTAATTGGCTCACAGTACTTCAGGCTGTCCAAGAAACATGACAACAGCATCTGCTTCTCGTGAGGGCGTCAGGAAGCTTCCAGTCATGGCAGGAAGTGAAAGCAGGGTAGCAGGCAGGTCACATGGCAAGAGCAGGAGAAACAGAGAGGAGCAGGATGTCCCAGACTCTTTTAAACAACCAGATCTCACGTGAACTGAGTGAAAACTCACTTACCAAGGGGATGGTGCTAAGCCAATTGTGAGGGATCTGTGCCTCCGTGATCCAGTCACCTCCCGCTAGGCCCCCACTCCAACACTGGGGATTACATTTCAACATGAGATTTGGAGGGGACAAACATCAAGTGACAGTGAAGGTATAAAATTTAAGTTAAAATGAAGTGGGACGTATTGATAGGAATGGAAGTAATTTCAGTGGCAGTTACATGAGCCAGTGCCATCCAAGCATGCTGAGTTCATATGCATGCTCACATGCTGGGTGTGGGTGCTGCATCAGACTGAGGCCTGGCAGCTGGCAAGGACCTATTGACATTAAACATAAGATGCTTTTTGCCTGACGCGGTGGCTCACGCCTGAAATCCCAGCACTTTGGGAGGCCGAGGCAAGGTAGACCATGAGGTCAGGAGATCAAGACCATCCTGGCCAACATGGTGAAACACCATCTCTACTAAAATTACAAAAGTTAGCCAGGCATGCTGGCATGTGCCTGTAATCCCAGCTACTCAGAAGACTGAGGCAGGAGAATCCCTTGAACCTGGGAGGTGGAGGTTGCAGTGAGCTGAGATCGCACCACTGCACTCCCGCCTGGGTGACAGAGTGAGACTCCGTCTCAAAAAAAATAAAAAATTTTATAAAAAGGTAGTTTTCTTCCCAGAAATGTAAAGATGTGAGAAAAATGGGGCTTATTATCAAGAAATAGAGTTTCAGATTTTCATTTTAAACATGAGGCCGAGCTATTTTCATTGTCATCTGCAAGAGCTGCTCATGAGAAAATTACCCTCAATTGTGTGTAGGTACAAACCTGTTTTAGGAAAGTTCATCCTTACAAAGTGCAGTGAATATAGTCACGGAGTCATGAATGTCAGAGGCAGAGGAGGGATCACAGGTAGCTTGAAACTAACTAAAATTGCTACAAGCAAATACAGATATATATTTTTTCCCTTTCACGGGGTTCGCTGCACTTTTCCCACTGGTTTATGGCTTTTTCCGTTTGTCTTTGTACATGTTTTTCCTGTGCTTTATTACTGTACTCACTTTTCAGTTATCAAGCCAATCAGCAGATAGCAGATCCTGCCATTAATTAACAAAGTATACCAAAAAATTAGCTGCTATAAAGACACAATAATTGGCCAGACACTGTGGCTCATGCCTGTAATTCCAGCACTTTGGGAGGCTGAGGCGGGTGGACCACTTGAAGTCAGGAAATCGAAACCATGCTGGTCAACATGGCGAAATACCATCTCTACCAAAAATACAAAAGTTAGCTGCACATGGTGGTGAGCGCCTGTAGTCAAAGCTACTTGGGAGGCTGAGGCAGGAGAATCGCTTGAATCCAGGAGCTGGAGGTAGCACTCAGTGGAGATTGCACCACTGCTCTCCAGCTTGGGTGACAAAGTGAGGCTCCATCTCAAAAAAAAAAAAAGACACAGTAATTAATTGCTTTTGTTTTTTTGTTTTTGTTTTTTTGAGACAGAGTCTTGCTCTGTTGCCAGGCTGGAGTGCAGTGGTGTAATCTCAGCTCACTGCAACCTCTGCCTCCCGGGTTTAAGTGATTCTCCTTCCTCAGCCTCCTGAGTAGCTGGGATTACAAGCGCACGCCACCATGTCCAGCCTATTTTTCTATTTTTAGTAGGGACAGGGTTTTACCATGTTGGTCAGGCTGATCTTGAACACCTGACCTTGTGATCCGCCCGCCTCAGCCTCCCAAAGTGCTGGGATTACAGGCGTGAGCCACGACACCTGGCCTGCTTTGTTTTTTAAGGGATCCCACACTGACCTGCCCAACCTCATCATGACTGTGGTGAGGTGCTTTGTGGGTGGCTTAGTTACTTGCTCAGTCAGCAGGGAGTTGGCTGCCTTGTTCCTTCTCAGTCTCATTGCCTCCCTTCCCTTCCACCTGTCAGACCTATTTTATAGGTTGCGGGAGTTCAAATTTACTAGATTCTGGGCTGAATGCCTTGGATTTCAAAGTAGCATTGTTTTCACCTTCTTACTGAAATACTTTAATATCATACTTACTGTTTTTTTTTTTTTTTTTTTTTTTTTTTTTTTTTTTTTTTTCTGATGCCAGGCTGGTCTTGAACTCCTGACCTCAAGTGATGTGCCCACCTTGGCCTCGTAGAAGTGCCGGGGTTACAGGCATGAGCCACTGTGCCCAGCCAATGTCATAGTCGCTCTGTTGACCAGGCTGGAGTGCAGTGGTGCGATCTCAGCTCACTGAAGCCTCCACCTCCCAGGTTCAGGAGATTCTCCTGCCTCAGCCTCCGGAGTACCTGGGATTACAGGCACATGCCACCATGCCCAGCTAATTTTTTTGCATTTTTAGTAGAGATGGGGTTTTACCATGTTGACCAGGCTGGTCTTGAATTCCTGTACCTCAAGTGATACACCCACATTAGCCTCCCAAAGTGCTGGGAATAATATAGGCATGAGCCACTGCACTCGGTCAGTATTCCAAGGTCAATTATCTGTATTTTTCCAAAAGTCTAAGGACAGTTATGTGCATATAGTCATGTGTCCCTTAACGAAGTGGATACATTCTGAGAAATGCATCGTTAGGCAGGTTGGTCATTGTGTGAACATCATAGAGTAGACTTACACAAACCTAGATGGCACAGTGTCCTATACACCTAGGCTATGTGGTATATAGCCTATTTCTGTTAGGCTAAGAACCTGCACAACATGTTAGTGTACTGAACACTGTAGGCAATTAGAACATATGGTGAGTATTTGTATATCTAGACATATCTAAATATGGAAAAGATACGGTAAAAGTGTGGCTTTGTAACCTTGTGGGACCATTATGGTATATGTGGTCCGTCATAGACTTAAACTTTGTTATGTGGCACATGTTCCAAACGTGTTCCAAAATTAATTACACATATCTGTCTTTCTGTAAAGCGTGTCAATTCCTCTTGGTCCTGTTAGTTTTTAGACATTAATTATGTGTTCTGGGTTGAAGTCGAGATGGATCTCCTGATATTCCCATAGTTTTTTTTTTTTTTTTTTTT